CCCTCATCCCTTATTGGCACTGCACCCATGAACAAGCCAAGCAGTCTGTGCCACGTTGAAGTGTTCAGTAGTTTCAGAACACTTCAGGTTACTCTTGAAACTGCATAATCAGTAGTTGGCAGCAATTAAATAGGTGATCAGATTATGTTTTATAAGCCACATGCAGCTGCCTGGCACTTAAAACATGGCACCTGAGGAAAGAAGTGGCTAAATAAAAACACTTGAGGTGTATTCAGGCTGCACAAGTCCAGCCTCTCCCTTGCCACATGCAAGTTGAGCAAAATGGCTTTACGTGCTATGTTCTCGCACATGTGCTGGGGGTTGCTGATCCAGCCCCTTAAGAGCTAAATTCTGCATGTGAGCAGGCTGTATGTACTTCATCTCCAGAGTCACTGAGCAGGGCTCCGTTTCTTTGGAATGTCAGGCATCAGGATGGAAAGCAGGAAGCCTCCTGTATTCTTGCTGCTGGCCTCCAAGTAGCAGTCAAAGATGTGGTGGTGCCTGTTTCAGTGAAAAGTTCCCTGCTCTGCAGTCATGCCAAGGGTCACTGCCAGGTGATCCAATTGTAAAGTCAAAAGGACAGTCAGAAGTGGCTGGATGTGATGCAACGCTTTGGGGGAGTGCCCATGTCTGAAATGCCCTGCTGCCAAAGCTGTCCGTGGGCCAGATCCAGTAGTACCATGAGCTGCAGGTTGCTGCTCCCCTGTCCTAGACAAAGGAAAAATAGTAGGATCAATTTGAACTTCAGCATAGCATTTCTATAGTGTCACACACAGATTATGTTAAGTTAGAGAAGATGGGAGGGTAGTGCTAATATTGTAAGGACCTTGTTAAAGGGGAATAACAAAAGGTTGTGTTGAAAGGAAATACTGGACTGTGGGGAAAAAAATTGAAAGAGGAGATCCATAAGGATCTGTTTGGGACTGACCTGCATGGGAAGTAGTGCTAATGAAAATTGTGGTTTGGGCTAAATTGGGAGGGATTGTCGGTATGGAGGAGGGGAGGCCTGTGCAAGAAGTGGATAACCCTGAAGCCTGGAGTAATAGAAATGGGGTGGAATTCAGTAGTGCAAATATGAGGCCCTGCAGTGAGGTGCTCATCAGAATTTCTGCTGCAAGCTGATGCAGCTTGTGGCGGGTGCAGAGATCCCACCTCAGGAACACAGCTGGGTATTCGTATCCCTCTGCTGTTTCCACCACGTGAGGCGGGCCAGTAGGGGG